AAAAATAGAACATCATTCATAACATTACATTAATGACTGTTATGCAACTTTCAATTAAGGCTGTCAAAAAAACGCCCAACCCTTAATTATTGTTTTAATATACAGTGCGAGTTTTTAATCACATTTCCCACGCCACTTTCCCAGCGATATCTGTCACCAAGAGAATCTCCTAAGGAAAGCATTTGGTTTCTTCCCTGCTCCCGCACCAGACTTCTCCGCGCACCGCACCTCGCTTGGACCTGAGGTTAAAAACTCCTCAAGGAAAATGAGGAAACGCAGAAGACTATGAGATCTATTTTTGAGCACCGGGATGTTTCCAGAGCCTCCTGCAGGAGCTTTTGGCACAAAGCGGGAGCTTTGGTTTAACCGCGAGGGTCAGCTTCTTGGACGGGACGTTTTCCGGGATGCGGGGTGCCCAGTGGGTACCGCGTCCAGAGCGCCGCGTCTACTCCACGCGAAAGGCTTCTGTGGCTTTCCGGCTGCACGCCCCGCTTTGCCATTAGGCAAGGGAAGCCCCCGCTGTGCGCTGCCGGGGCCAGCTGGGCGGGCGGCACACCAGCCCCGGACTGCCGGCAGCTTCCCGGCGTCGGGCGGATGGAAGGCCGGCAGGAAGACGGGCAGGAAGCGGGGTACTGCGCAGGTGCGGGCAGCAGGCTGCGGGAATGGCGTCCGTGGTGCTGAGCGAGGCGGAGAAGCTCTACATCGTGCACGGCGTCCAGGTACCGGGAGCGGGCGCCGGGCGGCAGGGAGCGAGTTAGGCTGGGGAGGAGGGAGGTGAGGGGGCAGGGAAGGAAGGAGGGAGCCCTCCAGCGTCTGGGCGCGAACCTCTGGAGTAGTAATCATCAGAGCACACTGGGCATCGGAACGGGAAGCAGGCTGAGAGCGGGACGTGGATTTGCTTCACAGAATCACACAGTATGCTGAGTTGGAAGGAACCCACAAGGGTCACCAAAGTCCAACTCCTAGCCCTGCACAGGGCACCCCAAGAATCACACCATGTGCTTGAGAGCATTGTCCAAACGCTTCTTGAACTCTTTAGGCTTGGTGTTGCTTGGTGTCCACTTCCCTGGGGAGCCTTTTCCAGTGTCCAGTCACCCTCTGGGTCAAAAACCTTTGCCCGATGCCCACCCTAAACCTCCCCTGACACAACTCCGGGCCATTCCCTCGTGTCTTGCCACTGGTCACCACAGAGAAGAGATCAGTGCCTGCCCCTCCTCTTCCTCTCATGAGGAAGTTGTAACTGCAGTGAGGTCTCCCCTCAGTTTCTTCCAGGATGAACAGAGCAAGTGACCTCAGCATGTCCTCTAACAACTTCCCTTCAAGGCCCTTCACCATCTTCATTGCCTTCCTTTGGATGCTCTAAGAGCTTTATATCCTTCTTCTGTTCCCATTTGCTCCTCTTTTCTTTCTCTTCCCTGACTCTTCCTCAAGTTCTTGTCATTGGGTAGAGTTTTAGCCTTTAACTTAGCGAAGGAGCATGAGTGGACAAAAGAGAAAGAGTGAAAGGTGTCTGAGGAGAAGCCCCAAAGATAAAAGAACTGTATCCTTACTGAAATTTACTGAAAAATAACCTGTTTGTATGGGAGCAAGCTGTATAGTATCAGAGGATGCGTAATACTTGTTTGTGAAATACAAATGGATGAAAGCATTTGGAAGGCTGGTGTATTTTTATCTGCTGGGGTCCTAATTCCTGATGTAAAAGTACAGAATGTCCCTATCCCGGGAAAGAGCTGGGTTGTGTTAGGTAAAGTACCATTGAAAGCCACGACCTTTACAGTTCTGAAATCTGAAGCTTTCTTTTGGGAATTAGAGGGACTTGGTGCAATTCATGTCTGTCTGCAGATTACTTGTTGCAAGCTCTACATAAATGAGATCTGAATGAAAAAGTATAGTTGGTTCTTTTCTGTTCCATGGTGAAACTACTAGCTGTTGCTTTTATATCCTCTATACTGCTGCATTTGGTATAAGAGAAGGAAATTTTAGAATCACAGAGTTTTTGGGTTGTGGTGAGGGTTTTATTTTTTTGTTTGTTTGATTGTTTCATAATCATCATTAATGATTCCCTTAAGTGCAATATATTAATTGTCATACTTAGGAAGACCTTCGTGTAGATGGTCGAGGCTGTGAAGACTACAGATGTGCAGAAGTAGAAACAGATGTTGTATCGAACACAGGTGGATCTGCAAGAGTAAAGCTGGTAGGTAAATTTTTTCGGGATTGGGTACCTTGCTGATGAAATTGCTTGTTCGTGCAACTAGTTAATCGATGCTGTTTGTAGATAGGTTTGTGTGTTTAATAACATGTATGTGTATAGTAGTAACTGAAACTATGGGATATGGAAACAATGACAGGATATATAATTAGTTCGGGCTGACTAGAGCTGGATTTACTGTAAAGTGCCTGGACAGCCTTCAGTCTGAATAATAAACTAATAATCTAATATTTAATCTTGAAAACTGAAGTTGCTGTTGTACCTAGTTCCTGGGCACGGGCAAAAATTTCTATTCCTTTAAAATGAAGCAGAACTACTTCTGACGTGTTGATTGTGAAGAAGATAAATGTACCATGCACCATTATGAAGGTTCTGCAGAAAAAGCTGTCTACAGAACCAAAATGACAGAAGTAGTCTTGAATATTAGGAGTGTCTTTTTAACCTAGAGAGAGGTAATATGGTAATTACTTAAAGAACCTTCTTGAATGTGATATTGTTCTTCTAAAGCCTTTTGTTCTTAAAAAAGAAGTTATTTTGAGTTCATTCTGATAGAATGATAACTGATAACTGAAAGGTAGAAATGTCAGCTTACCATAGACATTTAAATAAAACAAATAGTTCTGTAATTATAATTCCAGTTTTGTGATATGTTTTTGTTTTAATAGGGAGAAACTGATATCTTGGTAGGCATAAAAGCTGAAATGGGGACACCAAAGCTGGAGAAACCAGACGAAGGTTACCTGGAATTTTTTGTTGACTGGTTAGTATACTAGAAAAGAATGAACTAGATCTAATATTTGGAATAAATGACTAATCAGGTCTTGCTATTCTTCAGAAGTTTATGCCTTCATTCCACTAACCTCCTCTAGGGGTTTGTGTAATAGAAACAAATTATTTTACCGTTTCAGTAGCAGTGAATGTTAAGAACTTTTTGCTGGTCCTGCAAATCCGAAAGAAGCAAATCAGCAGAAGTTAAATAATGAAAACAGGTAAAATAAAAAAATCCCAAATTACATAGCATCACTGCAGCTGGAAAAGAGTAATGGTTCAACTACACAGAGTTGTAATCGGACTTTAGGACTAAAATATCAGCTGTTGTTTTTGCTATGATAAAATAGAGAAAATCTCTTTCAAGACAGTAAGTTGGAATAAAAGAATTGACCAATACGGACTGTACTTTAACTGTAGTTGAAAGTTTGCTTGCTATGTCTATGAAAGCAGTGGAAAAAGTTTCAAATGTGTTTTGTATAAAACTTTTTTTTTGTTAAAAAAAGAAAAATCCTCAGTATAAACTTCTGATGCAAAAGTAATTAGAAATTTTAGTTACATATTTATCAGTGAATCCATCTTTCATTAACTAAAAGGGTGTTTGTTTTTAATTTTAAGATTTCTTGCATTTTGCTGCAAATGGACTGTTGTTTATCCTTAGATCTTCATAGTGTTTGAATTATGGAAGAAGCTAGAAGAAAACTGAGAACTCTTGTTTTCAGGTTGCTCTGAGCACAGTGACATCTCACTGTTGGTCTAGACTGTCTGCAGCCTGAGACTACAGTATCCATGTCTAGCAGACTTACCCAAAACTGTTCTTTATGACTTAAAGTGCTTTGGGGACTTCTCATAAAAGCTTTGGCATTGGCAAGTTGGCTGCTTTGCATGTGACATCTCTTTTCATTTTTATTTAAAACAAGAAAATGTTCCTACTCTGACGTTAAACCAATATACCATTGTTAAAGCTAAGGTATGAGAGCTGCTAAGTGTATATCTGATAATCTTTCTGACCTAATTGTCTATATCTGCCTTAACATTGGTATGCCACATTATGCAGCCTTATCTAAGACTGCCTCTGTGCATCAGTGTGCTCTAGTTAACTGTGGAAATTTATTCTTTGAAGGAAAGCACTCACCTGTGAATTGATAGTTTGTTTACAATTGCTGTTCTAAAACTATCAGATGGGAAGATCAACTTGAATGTGGTCCTGCTATTGGGACTCATGTATGAAGTGTCTTAAATGGTATGTTTATCGTTTTGCATTTTTTCCCTGGTTATCTCTGTATGAAGAAAGTCCATGAACAGCAGGGACATTTCCCTCCTAAGAAAAGTCATCTGTGGACCTGTCATAATTCTGTGACACTTCCTGTGTATGTAAATATATATTAGAAAAGCTTCAACTCATTAGATTAATGTTAGGTTGCATTTTCTGTTAATCTCTGCTTCTTGAGATTGGAGGGAGATGTGCCTCAACATTGCGGGAGTTCAATCTAGTCAGTTCAGGAAATAGGTAATCTTTAATTTCTGTGACAACAGGATTCAAGCACCTGAACTTTAGAGGAGTGTAGTCACTTGTCACATGCTTGTGGCACAGGGAAAGGTGTCCTTTAGCTTCCAGAAGATTGCAAAAGACAAAAAGTGAAGTGGAGGCAGCATGTTCTCTGTCAAGGAGAATGAGCTGCTGTCAGTACCCTGATGCTTTTCCAGACTGGGTGGTAGTAACTGAGCATAATTCAATACCCTGAATCTTCTGGTGAAGTTCCTGTATGTTCTATTTGGCTTTTATATTATTGAAGCTAATAATAAAAACTCAGACTGCAATGATTATTATTTTAAAATGCTTGTTTCCCAAAACTTTCATGGTTTCTTTTACTAATGAAAGTCATAATTTGTTAGATCATATGTATAGTTCTCTGCTCCAAACTTCTGTTTCTCTTTATTCTGGGTCCTTTACCTGAAATCTGAGGAGCACACTTAGTCTCATTTTGAGACAGACTTTAATGTGAGTCTCTGGAAGGAATGATTTTTGGGACACTGATTTGTAATCCTAGAAATTAATTATCATAAAACAACTCTATGTCCTGTGTGGTATTTTTACTGCCTGTCACCAGTAGAGAAGACATTCATCGTGGTCCTTGATATTGAAAGAGTGCTATGTCTGCTTTTTTCACATTTTAATTTTGTGGCTGATCTGATTTATCACTTCTAAACCGTTAGAAATAGAAACAAGAAAGCAGACATCTGAAGTCCTTGAATGCATCAGATTTTGTGGAATTACGGAAGCAAGGAATATATTTGTCCAGATCTGACCATCTGTAGATTACAGTATATTAATGGCCTGAGCAATAAGTGGGAAATGTTTAACTGTTGCAACAGAAAGATTTTGACTGGCAACAGGAAGAGTTTTGAAATTCAGTAGGGATCTGTGGTAAAAGCATCATTATGCTTTAGGAGGAATCTTAGATTGTTAGACAATGTGACACTGAAATGATTTTCATAGTCTTAAAAGTTAAATGCTGCTTGGGCGTAGAAGTTCTGTACCACTACTAAGTTATTTCTATGCTCCATAAGCCAAGTTTTTGGTCATTTTCTAGTGTGTTAAGATGCCCCCTTTCCAAATTTTGCCCTGTATAAGTTACTGCAATAGTCTGTAGGCATTAGGTGGCAGTATTTACCAAATAGTTGTAATAATATCCTGTTAGCATTACTTCTTTATTTCACTTTGCAAGGAAATGTATAAATAAATAAATAAATAGATAATGGAATTAAGATGCAGTGAAATGTACAGTGATATTCCAGTTGAGTCTTAGGTTCTTTCTACTCAGTCAAAGAAAGCATCCACTTGTAATAAAAAAATACAACATTTGATAAAACTTTGTGTTTAGAAATAATAGTGAGGCATAGACTGAAGTTTGCATAATTCTTGCAACTTGCATTAGGGATCATAATGCTTGCATAACTATGACTTAAACAGAATGGCTTGAACAGGATGATCTTGTTAACTTGCATAAAAGCTGCTTCCATGGATAAGTGCTTGTTTAATACAACCTGAAGACCTGACTCAGCACTGAGTTATACTTAGATAAGATCCTGTCTCATAAAATTGGTGTCTAATAACCCTGAGTAATATTGTGTGTCACACTTACAATGCTTATTCGTGTGGCAGATATAGTTTGGAAGCATAGATCAGTGCTTCATTGGCACTAATGTTTCTTTGTATTTTTAAGCACGTATAGTGCTGTTTGTTTCTGGTAGCAACAAATAACTTCTATAAAATCCAGTAGTTCTTCCTGGCATTCTGGGTTTTCATCAACTCTGCAAAACAGCAAGTTGGAAGAATTACTGTGAGGTAAGGATAATAGTAGATAATTATATGTAAGCTTATAGGTTTTGCAGTATTGTTGGCACAGATCATTTGTTGGCTTAAGTCAGGCCTTGATAATGTGAATCTTTAGTTGTTTCGGTTTTTTTTTTTTTAAGGTGTGTGGATTATATTCCAAAACTTAGTTTTCTGCTATATATTTATATTACTGATGTACTAAGGTTTTGTATCATCATATAGGCACAGAACATGCATGAGAAATTTGCCTTGTGAGGTGCCCACCAGGAGAATTCAGGGCGTGGCCATTACAGATTTTGAACAAACCAAAACTACTTCTGTGTAATCACTTCCTTTGATATGTTCTCTAATGACAAATTAATTCGGTGGGGGTCTGACTGGTGTTTTTTAAAACAAGATTTGCAATGCTGCTACAGGTCCATTGCTTGAGAATATTCTTGCCCTCTCTATAAACCAGAGACTAGGTTTGGAATCTTTGCTCATTATTTTGCTCTATATGCATCTCTGGACATTTCTGTTCTATTTTATTGTTCTTTGGAGGCAGGGCATTTTTGTTAGGTTTGGGGTGGTTTTTGTTCGGTTACTTTAGTTTGGCTTTTCTTTTTTGGGGTTTTGGTGGGTTTTTTTAGGCCTGTTTTCTTTTATTGGAAGTTTCTTCGCTGTGTACCAGGCCCCAGCACTGAAGGACTTTCTTTCATTACTGCTCATAAATACTTTGTTATGTTGGAATCAGGGAAGTAAAGACCACACCCTTTGTCAAATCCCTTCAGGAAAAGATGTTGTTTAGTTGCTGTTCTCCATAAACTGCAGAGAGTAATGACATGCTTTCTTTAAGGAGTTTGATAGCAGACAATACACTCAGTAAAGAAGTTGCCAATTAAGGTCAGGCAGTCATGTTACTTATAAGAAATTATTATTAAATTCTACTTGTCATATCATCATATCTTCCTCTTCTTAGCCACACTCTTAATAACTTAATATTCAGCTGTTACTAGGCTGTCTTGGTGGCTGTTGTGAACTTAATACAGATGTCCCGCTTTTCTTCTTTAAAGAGCTGAGGTGATAGAAGGTGACAGTGCTTAAGAAATAATCTCTGAGAGAATTCACCAAATTTTACTTTCATTATAACTGGGGAACAGAAGATAGTAGTGGGATTTAGTAAGTGTTAGTATTTGTAACAAAATGTCAGTATATTATCTGCATCAAAACCTTCTCTTATGCAAAATGGAAATGATTCCTTTTCAGATAGGATGCATATTCTTGTACAAATAAATCCTTAGATACTTTTAATGCTTTATATTTAAGAAATATTGTTTGGGTATTCGCTGTTTCAGAATTGAAAGTATTATTTTCTTTTTTTCTGTAGTTCTTCAAATTCTCCTGAGTTGGAAGGCCGGGGAGGAGAAGAGCTTGGCACAGATATAGCAAATACTCTGTACAGAGTATTCAGCTGCGAGAACAGTGTAGACTTGAAATCCCTTTGTATTAATCCCAAAGAGCACTGCTGGGTTCTCTATGTGGATGTATTGGTAAGTACAGAAATGAAAACTAAGATTCAGCAAAATGTTTCTAAGGCAAAGGCTGATTTAGCATAATCTGTATTTTCTTATTTAAAAAAAAAAGCTCTCATAATGTGATATCACAGCATGGATGGCAGTTTTCTTGTGAATCTACTTATAGCAGTTAATCACTAATTTCAACTTGCTCTTTTTCTAGTATTCTTGATGCTGCTGTTCCACTGCAGAACTAATAAAACATTGAATACTCCAAATCCGTCTCAGATAAAAATCAGTGATTTTATACTGATAAGGAAGTTGCCACTAAAGAAGGGTAAACTTCTCTTCCAAGCTAGATGTAACAGCAGATAAATTGTTCAAGTGAATGTAAGTTACTGTGGGTGTATGTTATCCCTAACAGAACAGTCCATCCGTCTGGTTCTTTGTGCTCTTATCATTACTAATTCACTAAAGTAAAACAGTAACTTTTTTCCAAAAGCTAGGTTTAGCCTAGGTGCTTTTTGATGAAAGTTGTATACATGTACTAAACACAGAAGAAAAACTGAATATTTGTTCCCATGGCAAGAATGGAAACTGAATTTTATATGTACAAATCTGTGCATGCAGCAGCTCAATTTCCAAAATACACTGCATTTAAAACACTCTGTCATGGGAATTTCAAGAGAAGTCTGTAAGTCACTCTCCTGAACGCTATTTCCAATTCTTATTGGCCCAAAGTTGAGGTTCTGTTTGTCAAATTTGGAAGTGAAAATATGTTAAGGGATCTTACAGCAATCCGTTAGGGTCTGTGAAATAATGTGCAAAATGTTAAGCTTTATGGCCAGAAAAATAAATTCAGGGTTTTGTTGAACAAAACAGGAACATTTAGATTAAGACCTAAATAAATGTGAAAATTAGTTCACTAGGTATTTAAAAAGCATCAGCATTAGCCTAATTATAGTAGATAAGGTATAACAGTCAAGCTACAAAATGATGGAATGTGTACCTCTGCTGAGTGCTTTAACAGCCCGAGTCACTGGCTTATTGCAGCTTGGCATGGTTTAATGGAGAATGAAGTGTTAGTTCCAAGAAATCACACTGAGGCCTTTAGTTACTAGGTAATTACAAGCAGAGGTACAGAATATTAAATGCTGTGCTTATTTAAGCAACATGCTGCTTAACATTGCATAGGCACTGGATAAACAAAGAGTTTTCATAAAGCTGTCTGCTTCTGTGTGTATATATATACACATACACACACACACACACACACTGTTCTGTATAGTTTTTGTTTGAGATGTAGCTGGTCGTTATCTGATTCTTCCTGGTCAGATTTATTGATTGTCCACAGTTACTGAGAAAAACAGCGTCTGTGTTTTCATGTTACTAGTTGTATCAGAATTATGAACATCAGGGCCTATGTTATGTGAGGAATTTTACATTTAGCTCTTTTTACAGTGCCAATAAAGAATCTGTTGTAGGTTCATAATTATGACTCTAAACTTCATGAATCTTTTTAATATTATATTCTGCAGGGATTTGGTGTGTGAGCCATTGAAGAGTTGTTGGTACAGTTAGAACAAGATACTGTTAACATTTCTCTCTTACTCTGTTCCACCCCCCCCCTTTTTTTTTTTGCCACCTTAGGCCTCTGTATCTTCACATTTTTGACATACTTGTAATATTTCCTTTTCTAAACAGTAGACATATATATTACATGTGATAGTATATACCTAATGTAGGTGCTTGACACTTAACACATTTTCCTGAAGCTGCTGTTGCCGAATCATTCCTATAGAATTCCTATAGAATTCTAATTTTTGTAGGGTGTGGTGTAAGGATGACACTTGGGCTAATACAAGGAACCACTCATATTGTTTGTCATTTGAGGGAGACAAATTCTGAGTATAAAAACAACACTCATAGAGAGTCCTTTGGGTGATACTTTCCTTCAGAATTCCTGGAAATTGCTGGACATCTCTCATTCCAAAAGACAAAGATCCAGAAGGAATGTTATGAGCCTGGAAATACTCCATTGCTACACAATTTAGCCATGTGTACTTTGGTTGAAACATCTATATTCAGCTCCTGTGTGTAAACAAAATTTGACGCATGCAACCTCAAAAGAGAAAGTAGTGTGTTTTTCAGTCATGCAGATTTATCAATTAAAAACATCCCTCAGATATTTTCTAGTGGTCAGTGTACTTGGGATGTGCAATGATTCTGTACAGTCAGACTGGAAAAAAATAACTTAATACATGCACACCACAAAGATGCAGACATACAGACAAATTGAGATACATGTGTCAAAGGTCGAGAATATATACCTTGACCTTTCAGAGTATATGCATTCTTTATTAATAATGGAAGGCATTCCACTTCCAAGTAGTAGCTTATCAATGTGGAGTACCACAAAGGCCTATTCTCCCTCTCTCTGTGTTTCCCTCAATTTCTTTCCTTTTCTAAGCAAGCCATTGACGTCAGAAATAAGCTTTTAGGCATTTTTGAGTGGATTTTGATATATATGTATAGCCTTCTCCCCATAATTTGCCCCAGCAGCCTGCTGGGCTAGGCAAGAAAATCAAAGTGTGCAATCTTACTATTCCCTATCCAGTTACAGTAGATTCTGTGTCAGGAGGACAGGGTGCATTAGGTTCTCTTGAAATTTTTGCAGTTCACTACTGAGCACCTTCCAGGAATTCCTCATGTTCTCTATTTTCCCCTCTACCCCAGTCTGATTAAAAAGAAGTTAGGAATCTCTACTTTTGGAGGAAAAGCTTCTCTAAATAAGGTGAGGTCTACAATGTGTTACCTTTTATTTCCCATAACTTTTTCACTTGCATATCAGTAAATTAAAAGCAGAGAAGACCCCTCTGCTTCCCATAACTCACAGTTGTGTGGACTTTCTTAGTCCTAAAAATAACTAAATAAATAGGGGGAGGTCAGGTGCTTCAGCGGAGAAAAGTGTTCACTTTGTGGAGGAATTGTTGCGCTATGCTCTGTGGAGGTAGTGTTCCTTGCCTCTAGGAGCCACTGTAGGACAGATAAGGCTTTAGAACAGCAGCCTGAATACAAGCCTAGCAACAGTGCAGACATATCCCATTATTGTGTTTTAATAACAAAGATATTGTAGGGCTTATTGTGTTATCAAGTAAAATCCAATAATGACTGAAAGGGGCAAGTTAACCTCTCTGTATCCAGCAGCTGCTTGCAAAGAAATAATCTGATCACCCTTGTATTTAACTTTCTATCCCAATTTTTTGTTATTCTTTTTACACTCTTCAGTCTGTCTTCATAAAAAGTAACTGTCTTTACAGAGTATCTCGTTTATGATTTGCTCCTGTGCAGGAGTTTATCTTATTTTTAAATAAATTTTGAACAACAATCAGTGCAATCAGGATTGCAAAAAATTGTTTTGCTCTCATCATACAGCATAGACTCACGTGACGGAGAAGCATCCATATGTTCTTGCTGAAGTATTTCCAAATGCCTGCTCTATGTGTATGTTCTCAGGCAATAGAACTGGCAGCTGAGAACTGAGCTGGTCAGAGATGTGACAGTAGACTATGGAGAGACACATCTCTGACTTGTCTGGCAGCCTGCAGAAGGTATTAGTGGTTTTGGGAGCCTTCCTTTTTTACCTTGTATGCAGTGCTGCTTTTCCCTTTGACTGTTGTTCTCCCAATCTTCATGGGAAGAAGCTGAGCTAGGCTCCCACCACACACTTCAGCTGTTGATAACACTCATTTGAAATAGACTTTGATATCAGGCTCTTCTTAGATCACTTTCGGCTATGAGACAAACCTGATGATGACTCTTTGCCATAAAGAGAATAAATCATGATGTGCCTTCATAACTGCACCTTTTAAAACTAGCTTTCCATACCATGTTCTCAGTGACAGTGTGTGTTTCTTCTGTGGAAGCAGCTCTCCCAATTGGTTTTGTCCATCTGATATTTTAAAAAAGACTCCTCTTTGAAATGAAATATAGAAAATTGATTGGCTTAATTTAACACTAAAGAATTAATGTGATGAGTTTATAAAGGGTACTCTGGCCATAGTCTAGTTCAGAACGTTAGCACAAGAAGATTAAAAACAGTGGTGGTTTCGTTTCTGCTTCTATTATTAAATTTTATCGTTATTATGAAGTGCATTAACTCTTCTATTTTGCATGTATAATACAGTTAGCTGAAATCTTAATTTCCTATCTGTTTCTTTTCATAAATGGGCTTTAAAGACAACTTTGTTTTTTAAAAACCTGGTAATTAATTTTCTTCTTTTTCAAGTAGGTTTAAATAAAATAAAGGCTTCATTTAAAGGCCTGATTTAAAGAGATTCTTCTTTTTCTCCCCAGTTACTGGAATGTGGTGGGAACATCTTTGATGCAATCTCTATCGCAGTGAAGGCAGCTCTCTTTAACACAAGGTAAAGCACAGATCTTATTTCATGTGGGTGGAAGTGGAATGGGAAGTGGAAGAGAAGTGCTCTCTCTGAGCAAAACATTTTTAATGCTTAATTATTTAAATAAGAAGTACCCAAGACAGCTTGCATTCAGATACAAGGCAATCATTTGCATGCAAGTACCATGAACTAATGTTACTTTAATTCAGTTTCTAGTGATCAAGTGTCATATTGCATGTTATGCACAATCATGTTCACAACATAACTCCTCTTGTAGCCAGATCCAGAAAAGTAGTGTCGACCATGTAGTTTTGTTGCAAGTAATTGGAGGCCTTGGTGCTGATGCCTTGTGGGTTTGAAATAAGTATTTACTGATATGTGATGTCTCTGAATAAGAAGTGTGACTGTCAGTGTGACTACTGATGTTTAACCAGCCCTGGTTTTCCACTTTTATTCCACTGTTGATTTCGTTCTCATTAACTGTCAGCCTAGAGTTCTTTTTAAAACCAAGAGGAAAAAAGTGGTAGTGAGAGATTGTGGGGAGGGGAAAACGATGTCTTTAAAAGAACTTTGCCCCATGCACGTTAATCCAAAGAATAGGAAAATAAAATCTAGTAGAATGAATGTTGCATATTTTCTCTGTTTTAATAAGACTCACTACTATTTTTTCTATTGTTTTTATCTCCTTTATCCATTGGTGAAAGGGAATAGAGTTTTGTAGCACCCTTGAGAGAAACAACCTAGTGAATCACTTTACTAAAAAACTTACATGGCAAAAATAGCTGGTAGAGGTGCAAAAGCTAGACTCCTACAAGCATAAATGTTTTAAAAGTGGATCTCAAATTGTTCTTCAGCATTAAATTAGAGATATGCTAAAGTCACTAGTGTTGTTCTGGTTTATTTACCAGGGAATCAAGGTACAGTACTAGATCTGGAAAAGTACATGCAAAAAAGAAGAGGAAAATATGCTTTTGAAGACAGGCAGTGTATCAGGTTATAAACACTTTAAAGAGATAAGGGGAGACTTATCCATCTGAGACTAGAAGTTGTATGTGTTGTTGAGAAATTTCTCATGTTAATCAAGTTCTCAGCAGCAACTTTTAACAATGGATTGTTTTTATAATATTAAGAAATACTTATAGAAATGTAATGACTCACAAATGAGTTGGCACTACTGTAAAAAGAAGAAATGCCTGTATTTCTGTGTGTGAGTTGCCAGGATGCAGAAGTCATATAGTTAAAACAGTCACTACCATGTGAGTTGTTTTGCAGACCCACAGCTCATACCTTATTTATAAGATAACAAAGTCTTTTTTCTTACTTTAACTAGAATAAAGAGAGACGGTCATATAAAAAGTAATGAATTAAATAAGTGAATAGAAGAAAATCTGTTGCTCTGGGAACATGGACAACATGATGGAGGATGTAATTATTTTAATGTTTCTTACTTATTTTTATTCCTCTGACAACTATGTCCTTTATGTAATCTTTAAACTGCAGGCAAATATTGCAAGTCTTGTTGAAGATGAGTATCATTTCAAAATGTGCTACAGTATGACACAGCCTATTGATTTTTTAACTTTGAAAACCCTATCATACTGATTTGAGCAGGGAATGCTAGTACAGCTCATGTCATACAAGCTCAGAAAGTCAAGAGGTGAAATTCAAAGTGAAAACCTGTTGTCCTCATTCACTATTCCTCTCCCTTTCGCTTTGTAGCTGCTGGGTTTTCTTTGGATTGACACAAGGTTGTTTAAGAGTCGCTGCCTGTTCTCCATAAAATATTATTCTCCAAACAAGACATCAGTTTGAAGATTGCTTCAGATTAAGTGTTCTGAACTGTGTTCAATATGTGTCCCCTCTTTGACTCTTACTTTCTCTTCCTACTTTGTTTACAACCACGTTTTTGTTCTAAGTGTTTTCACATCTTTGCCAGCCTTGACTTAGAGCATTGGAACAAAGAGCAGGAAGCTCAAGCTGCTGTTATTTCTTTGAAGGTACAAAATTTTAGATATTCAGATAGGCATTTGAAAACGTCAGCTTCAATTTAAAATCTTGCTCTAAGCATTTTTGTAGTATCTGTGGACACATCATGCTTTAGAGCTAAGTAAATCCAACATCGTGACTTAAGGAATTTTGTGCAAGATTTACGGGATTTAAATCCTTTGAATCCCTGACCTGACTTGTTCTCTCCCCTTCGGGCATGGAACAATGACAATAGAACTGGTTTAGGGGGAATATTTACCCCTCACAGTTTTGTATTGTTCATCAAGTTCTAAAAACTATAATCAAGATCATGTACACAAGATAGCGGATACCAAACTTCCTTCTTAGCCATGTCTCCCAGATGTTTAAGGATGGATTTATTAATGATGGAAGTAGATTTTGCAAAATGTGCAGTTAGCTACTGTGTCTGGATCTTAAGCTTGGTCCTGTGGAATGTGCCTACTTGCAACCGAGGCTGCAGAAAATAGTCAAGTTACAAAAACAACAAAGTTTATAACACACCAGCCTTGCAGATACTGAGGTTTTTGCTGCCCAGCATGGTAGAGGCAGAACTGATGTCTGCTTGGAAGGGTGGGATTGGTTTTGCATTTGTGAAATCTGAATCTACACACACAGAAAAGAGCACTGTTTGTTACATGACTGAGTCTTGCTATACAGATCTCTGCCCTGATTAGATGCTGGAATCAAAATTAAAAAAATAAAAGTTGCAAATTAAATATGTACAGCTATTTCTTCAGATAAATCTTCACAAGCTGGGAGAGGAAATCTACAGTGTTCTGGAAAAGTTTGTGCTACATTCACTTTGCATAGTTTTTGTGTCCATATACCTCCTTTTTATGCAACTGTGGTGCTTGTGTCTGATCTTTTTGCCTTTGTAGTATTTCTAATTTACACCTCTCATCTGTTCTTGGCCAAAAAAGCTCCTTGCAGGCATTTTTCAGATACTAATTCTGGCAACTTCTTCTTGCAGACCAAACACTACTCTGGTTTCAAAGCTATTTTAGGCTGGAGTTTAAAATGGCATAATCTCACACATTTTCTTAAAATCTTGCCTTGTTTAAAAAAACACTACTCTGGCACATATACCTCTTGCTTGGCTAGGCTGTTGTCCAGTGTTGTCCATTGTCCTGTGTAGCTTGAGGGTTAGTCACCTTATGACTTTATTCTCTCAACTCCTAATGGAATATTTTAAGCTTGAAAATAGGCTTTGATGCATTTCTAATCAGTTGGAAAACATTTGGAGTTTTATTTCCGGAAAAAGTGCATATCACAATTGTTGTGCTTATCCAAAGTCTTAGTTTTGGGTTGGCTCAGGCCAGTGTGCTTGTAGGAAGTTTGTTGTCACTGAAGCAGGGTTAGCTGTTTTGAGGTACTTGCCGCTATGACTGTTAGCCACAAATAACTAAAATACTCTTCCAAGGATCAGTCAGAATCACTTTGTGTTGGTGGGGGGAAATGTTCATTAAATCAGTCCCTATCTCCTTCTCTTCTAAAAGAAGAGATTTGTTACAGAGGGCATAGAAGAATGTAACCTCCAGAGTCTAGTTATAAAACAAAATGCTACTGTAAAAGCACTAACATAAAGCCAGATTGTGGTTACTGAAGTTAGCTGTCTTGGGACATCTTGAAATATTTTGTTTTCAAGTGCAAATGTGTGAAAGAGAGAGTAGTGTGCATGAGGTCTGTGTGAGTTTTACTGGCCAGTAATGCCAAGTCTCTCAGTCAGTACTCCATCTTTGCAGGCACCTGGATAAATGAGGGTGTATAAGATGCTGACATTCTTGGCTGCTTGAGATACCATCTTCTACTAAATTGTTTTAAATTACTTTATTCATTATGCTGAGGAAACTACCTTAAATCATCCCATAAAACTTCCATTAGATGGCTGTCACAAATATAATGTATGTACGACTGATAAGGAGCCTGTCTAGCTCATTTGTGAGAGAGCTCATCATTCACAACTCAGAAGAAAGCATTTCTTAGATTTCTGCCTGGGTTTTCAACACTTTTTCATCCTGATACGTTACATATCCCTTGAGTATCTATCCTTAGAGCAGTAGAGTATCTTGCCTATTTTCTCATCTTGCTAGAGAAAGGATTTTACTAATGCCATCTCTTTACCCCAGCTCTCCTTAGTAGGTGTTGCTCTTTCCTGAACAGCTTTACTACTAGTATTTGCCACTGATGTCACACCTTTGCCAAGCAATGCAACTGATGTAATGCTGACAACTTTACTGTTGTCTGCAAGGTTGGGAACCACAGAACAAAAGGATTCAGTCTTGGTAATTTGTCTCCTGTACATCCATAACATTCCTGTACATACAAAGAATTGTTCGGAACTGATTTGTGCAAGTTTCAGATTAATTTCTCCCCTTGTAACAGTGTAAAAAACAGCTCAAATTTTAACTGTTTGAATGATGTAAATATGATGATCTTATCCTAAATATCTTCCCACTTACAATGTTTTTTTGAAGTCTCAGGTAGTGAGTTGTTAATACTTTGATCACATTCTGTACTGTTCTTCTAAACAATTTGCCTCATTTAGAAGAACAGGGACTTCCTGGAGTTGTGACTGTAGAACAGTTGTATTTGTTATGTGTTCTGGCAATGACTCTGCACCTTTTGTTTCCACAGAATACCCAAAGTGCGTGTTCTGGAGGATGAAGAAGGCACCAAAGAGATTGAGCTCTCTGATGATCCTTATGACTGTATACGACTTAATGTAGATGAGGTGCCCTGTATTGTCACACTAAGCAAAGTAAGCCTGACAAATTTCTGCCTTCCTACCTGGAGTTTCCTTCCAGTTTCTATTAATTTCACGTGCCATTTATTTTTTCCCTAGAGATAAAATGAGAATTACAGGAATGGTCAGTGTCCACTATGCATGTATTTGTGTTTAGCCTCCTAATTAAGAACTTCTACTGAATAAGGGTACATCTGACTTGCAGGTTTCTCTTTGATGTATTCTTAAAATGCATCTGGCATGCAGAGGAGTTGTTTATTATTTTTCGTCTGCTCGTTGCTTAACATAAAGTGCAGCAGATATGTCAGTATGTTAAAACAAGAGGTCACTGTGTTCAGGAGTGGAGGTTGTGTGATCTGCCTGGAGTTACGGGCTGGGTATTTGTTGCTGAGGACAGAACTCAGTTTTCATGGGTCCAGTACCATCCCTTTCCTTTCAAACAGGTTTTTGTCTTCCATGCATAGCACACAGCTAACACAATTGATTTTATGGGTGTTGTATTTTCCATTGCAAGTGTTAGTGATTGGCTTAGGTACCTGAAAGTTTGCTTGGTGTTTCTTTTAAGGAAATTGCATAAGTAGTAGAGGGGCCATTGCTGAAATGAGGGCTCACCTGAGTCTTGGGATTTTAATTTTCAGGTAGAGGGGAGCAAAGTCTGTACTTAAAGTTGCAGGGAAAGGTGAATATGGAGTTTCATACAGATAAAAGAATGGTAGAAAGGAAAACAGTTTGAAATAGTGACACACTTATCTCACCTCTGTCATTTATATACCCATAATTTGGGGTCAGAGGCTGTTTAAATCCTGTGCTATCAAGTCAGTCTCTGACTGTTTCCAAAGGCCACATGATTTTAGGATGGGAGGCTGTAGGTAAGTAACACTCACAGTTTGATTTCTCAATGGGGAGCTTTGAGAACAGCAAACTAATGCATTGTTTTGTCACTTACTTGCAGATTGGATATAGGCACGTGGTGGATGCTACCCTTCAGGAAGAAGTCTGTTCTTTGGCAAGCCTGCTTATTTCAGTGACCAGTAAGGGTGCCATCACTTCTATGAAGAAGGTGGGGAAAGGTAGCCTGGATCCTGAGAGTATTTTTGAAATGATGGAGGTAAGGAGTGTTGAGCAGTTGACTGTCTTGGATGATACTGAATGAACTGTATCTTGGGTGTACAGAAAGCTTCAATAAGAGCTTTTAAAGCAGAGACCTTGGTGCTTTGATATGATGCACGAGGGACTTTGTGAAGGTCATAGACACTTTCTTTGAAACAGATTCTAATGTGAGCGGACATTGTCTAGAACTTCTAGATGCCTGAAATGTATGGTGCTCACATTTGTTTCAGGCAAGTACTTCACAGCTATAAGACAGTAAAGCTTAAGCTGAGAAACTTTCAGATTATTTTTAAAGAACCTGTTCCCTCTTTTATTGTTTCTTTTAAAGTCTTAAAGAGCAAAACTTCCAACATGATGAAGTCTCTGTAAGAATAAGGATGGTGTTTGAAATTGGTGGTGCATGGTGTTCTAGCACAACTCATTTGCTTTATGATAAACTTACTGTTCTCATTTTATTGTTGTTTTACTTTGCTTCTTTATTGAGTTTACAATCTGTCCCTACTTCATAAAAATACTAGTATCTGCATATTATCCGTGTTCATATAAGATCCATTTTAAACCCTTCTTCAGGCTCTTCTTAGATCTGTTCTCCAGTATAAATTCTCATGCCTGAGTTTGGTCTTGAGCATGAGACAGAAATGGGTTTTCAACTTGAAAGTCAGAATGAAAATTAGATACTTCAAGCTGGCTCTGTTACCTAGAGACACAGGGCTAATTTCTGCATGGCTCTACCTGAGGAATGCAGAAGTTGGAGCCAAGTTTGACCACAGTTGGTCTCAAGTGGGAATTACTGAGTATATGGCACTTGACTACATCATGATGTCAATCCAGAGTGCTTATCTCAGTGGTACCAGTGGGCTTTTTATTTGTGTTCAAATATGCTTTTTATCCCCCTTACCTAGGTAGAGAGGTGTTATCTCTAATTCTCCTGGAGGAATGAGAGAAAAAGCTGATTACAAAGAAACCCAAGATGTTTTTTGTAAGGTCAGCGATTATCTGTTTGGTCCTGCCTTAAACTCAACATCCTGATTGGGATATCAAGAAAAACAAAAAGACCTGGGAATTCCCAGTGGAGGATATGAGTAACCTATGTCTGACACCTCTGTTCCTGAATGATTTGGCTGCAGGTCAGAGGATGTTCAGTTTTTCCTCACTGGTAGAAGACAGACATTCTAGGACATATCACTTAGGAAGCGAGTTTTGGGAAGCTGCCAGCATTACAGGTTCTTTTTTACTGAGTTTATGATCCAGTCCACTAGAGAGGTAAGCAGGAATAAAATGGCAACAGTGTTGGGTCAATACCAAAGTTCTGCACAGTTCCCACTCACTTTGACCTGGAGTGAGTGATGTTGTCTTACATTTGAGGAGAAAAAAGTGTATCAGCCCTCTTGACTCTGAACTGCTGCAGTGATCTTTGTCCCAGTGCAGAGCTGTAACAGTTCTTATTCTTTGCCCCCCTCATTTATGTAGCATGACTCATGGTGTCTAGGATTGACAGCTACCCTGCTGCATCAAAACTCTTCCCAAATTTCCTTTGGTACCACTGGGCATATTCTGGCACCTGGCTCTTCAATTAAAAATGTAGCTTATTCAGGTTTGTGCATGCTTTTAGTAATTGTCACCAGGAGGTGAAACAGAGTTTTGTGTCAGCTGTATGGCAAGCCTAGGCTTCACTGCATAGATCAGGAGCCAGTAAGCTCATTTTAATATAATCTGCCTTTGGCTCTTTAGGGATGGGTGGGATCTTTATTTCTGTTTGCAGTCAGTATTTCAGGTCATTTAGAGAGACCCTGGGAAAGCTCCAGTGGGCACCACTGCCTTAAGATCTTCCTTAAGATTTCACCACTGCTTAATGTTTCCCTGCCCTGTAGCTTGCACAGTATACTTGGGTGTGTGGACGAGTAGAGATCAGCACTGGAGCTAATCCTATTGGATTTTCACTGCTGGAGTTTATTTCCGTAAAAAAGTTTATTTTGCTGGAGTTTATTTCTGTTATTTCTGTAAAAAACTCTTTTAATTAGGTCCTTGGACAGGACAGAATTACACATTATATGAAGGATCTGCCCACAGAGTGATTTGGTGGTGCAGCCAGTGTGCATTTTGGGCTTCTCTGGCCACAGGACAGGGTGTTCAGCTGGTCTAAATTCACTCTGCTGATTCTGAGCACATTCAGAAGAGTCTACTGAACTTTCTATTAGTAGGCTGCTTTGCTGGTCAGGTGTCTCTTGTCCTCTGGCTGCTAGAATATTGCTTCATGCTCTGTGTGCTTGCTAATTTGAACGTGTGCTTGTGCCTGATGTGAATTTAATTTGTATTCCTGAGTGATCCAGCGATGCGCATATCTGGTATTAATGATCGTGGAATGCTTCTCTGATGAATAAGAGCACTGCCTTTGTGTGTACATTTTTCCAAAACTTAAGTTAAAATGAAACTTTCACCATCATTATTTTTCTAAATTAAAAGCATATTTTATGATACCAGATGGTGTATATGAATCATCAAAGGGAAAATATTTGTCAAAAGGAAGTGTTCTGTAAGAGTTGTCTTCCTGTAAATAAGCATATGTCTTAGATTTGTTTTGCTTTCTTTGCTTTGCAGACAGGACAAAGGGTAGGCAAGTCACTTCACATAGCCCTTCAGAAGATTTTGGATGAAGAAGAGAGTTTGGGGACTTCACGACCAAAAGTTGGATTTCTAGGATGAATTTTTGTTAAATGTTCAAAACTGTTTTTAATTGATTGTGCAATCTTGTCAGTTTGTATATAAAGTAAAGGTTTTTTTTTTTGTTCCAGTAGAGTCATCCTCCTGGCTAAGAGGCTTTCAGAATGTTACTAAGAATGAAGAAAGCTACAGTTAAAGGCACATAAGCAAATTTGAGGTGCTTTCCATGTGGGTAGCTGCTGGCACCTAGGAGGTGAACCAGCAGCAATTGGTGCTGTTGCCTGGGAAGTGCTTGAGTCTGTTTTCCAGAGTGACTGGTGTACTTTCCATTTCATTCTGTTTTCATGTGTTTCACTTCTGTAAACTAACTGCTGTGTCCTAGAATGCATATGGGATTGTCTTCCCAGTGCAACACAAATGAGAGCAGCACTAGGTGGAAATCTTCCTTCAAATTATCTTACTGTTCTTTGAATAAAATGTGGTTAGATTTTACTATAAATACAACATGGTCCTAAGTTCCCAATTCATATTTTAAACCAAGATTTGTCTACAACTGCCTCACAACGGAAAGCAGAGGGGCTAGCACTGACTCCTTGGTGACTAGTGACAGGACTTGAGGGAACAGCCTGAAGCTGTGTCAGGGAAGGTTTAGGTTGGATATCAGGAAAAGGTTCCTCACCCAGAGGGTGGTTGGCCACTGGAACATACTCTCCCAGGAAGTGCTCACAGCACCAAGCATGACAGAGTTCAAGAAGTGTTTGGACAATGCTCTCAGGCACATGGTGTGACTCTTGGTGTCCTATACAGGAGCTGGACTTTGATGATCCCTGTGAGTTCTCTGCAACTCAGGATATGCTATGACTTCCTTGCTTCCTAGAGCTCTACCTATCCCTTTTGCCAACAGGTGCAATAGTAAGCCAGCCAAAACATCTCAGTGTGGCTAAGGAGTAGGGACATGACCAAGGTAAATGGCAAACTAAGTTGATCTTTAAAAGTTTGATATTTCAGCTGGAAAAGCATAGTGGCTGTCAATAATGGTCCTTCACAGGGAAAAGAGGATTACATATAAGACATGGATACAAGTTGCATCACCAGATGTTGAAAGCAGTGGATTTCCTCACTACATCAACTGGATGGCCAGCAAAGAGTAAGAGGTGTTTATTTGGCATGATAGGAACAAACAACAGATGGGAAAAGTCAAAGGAAGAAGTTGATTTTTAAGAAGTTGATAATTCATCTGAAAGTGTTAAGGAATATTTTGAACAAACTATATGTCAGAAATTACTACAATAATCCAGAAGTTATTTAGCTCCTACTCAAGCAACATTTTCTGAATTTTCTGTTTCAATTTTATAAAACCAGATTAAGAATGTTCACTTGACTGTAACATGTTTGTTGGAGAGAAAGGAGGGAAGGGTTTTACTGAAGGAAAGGTGTAGATATAGGACAGAACATATTACAGCTCAAACTAATAATCATGATCACATTAAAATATACGGAGTGCTTAAGGTTCCCAAATCTCTTCAGTCCTTTTGCTAGAGCCCATACACATAGTTATTCAAGGTGACTGCAACAGTACTGTATATTTCAGGTATGTGTAACCACTGCTATAGCAAGCAGACAGGTTGTTAAAAAAAAATGTTGTTCCCCAAAATTTGCCCAAGGTTTGTATTTTGAAGGGTTGGGATTTTTTCAGTACCTTAAGTAATGGTTTAGGTAGGTTGTAATGGTGCTGCACAGTAGTAGAGCCAAGGAGTGACAATGAGTGTACATATTGTCTTTTATCACTTCAGCAGAGTTATTCTGTGTGAGGCAAATGCTTACCTGACATCAGCTTTACAGTAGCTGTAATCCACTGCTTGCCATGCAAAGCTGCTTGTAAAAACATAGAAGAAAGCTGAAGGGCGAAAAAACCTTTTAAGTACCTTAGACTTATCACAGGCCGTTTTTTGATCATGTATTGTTCAATGTTTCAGAAAATGGTTAATGTAAATGAGACTGCAAGTCTTGAACCTCAGCCATTCTCTGAATGTTTTATTGCAGATTTGTGGTTGGAGACCAAAAAGCTGCTCCGAGTTACACTCGGGATGAATTCTGTAATATGAATAGTGTAATTCTATACTGCATTCCAGCTGAAGGATGTCCAAGCATTTTGCAAGTTACATCACTTCAGATGCTTCTTGTCCTCTCTGCAGGTCCTTTGAATTTTAAATACATTTTTATGAGAGCTGGAGGTGGGAAAAGAAATATCACTGTGTTTCAAGTGTGTTAACTGACGCCTCTGTAGAGGGGAGTGCATGTGCACTCCCTCCCTATTTTTTAATAAGGATAACAAATGTTTAGCCCTCTGAGATCAAGGCTCTGTGCTCAAGAGAGAGACTTGGTGCCAACCACTTCCTCCAAGCAGCGCTGTGAATTAACATGGTGCCAGCATCTGCAGTGCCTCCTCTACATGTGTGTGTCCTCCCCCTGGTCTTTTGTACCTGGGTATGCAGGCACAGAGTGAATTGGGGGTGTCAGGGGGTCCTGTTCCTTCTGTGTCACTGCTTCCCATCTGTTGGCATGGAAAAGCAGTGGTGTGGAGAGTGACCCCAGTTCAGATGGAGTCTGCTTCAACCCCTGAGATAAAATAATGAGCTCAGCCAAAAGTATTACAGCGCTGCTAGCTGGTCTCAGCTGCCCCTGGAGGTTTCCTGCTACTAGTTCATGTCCCAGATGGATAAACAAAGCTCTGACAGGGGTTAAAAAGGTCCTACAGCTCTCCCAGTTGATATGGTATCTGCCAAGAAATCTGTGAGACTGTGGTTCTCAGGCATGCTAAGGGCTAATTTCTATTTTCTTAGCTCCCTTTAACCCCTCCCTTCTATTCCAAACAAAAATAGCAGAATTTTAATAGAGACTAAACTGAGAATGCCCCTGTTCCCATCTGGGCTGGTGGAAAGTTCTATGTGTTGCTGTGCAGATACTGCCACGTTTTCATTGACTCGAGTCCAGTAGAACTAAGAGGAAACATCTGTGGAGTGGGATAGCTCTCTGTTTGTCCCTGCAATTAATTGCTTCTGCTGAGAGTGTTGAGAGGCTGAAAGCTGTGTACTAGAGATGGGGAGTCTAGCAATTCCTGCTAGGCTTCTACTCATGTTGCCTAAAAAGCATACACCTGTAATTTACCTGTTTCACAGGGACAGCATTCCCCTCAAAGCAGATGACTGATTTACTAAGCCCAGGAGTCCCATCAACATACGTTTTGCAGCTACAGTTCAGCACTGTAATTGTGTAGTTTGGGGAAAAGAGGGAAGCTCATTCTGCTCTATGGAGGCAATGGAGAGGAGCATGGCTGTGCCATCTGTAGTCAGGCTTTAAATGAAGCCATCCTTCAGCACAGCCTGCTGTAAAGACAAATCAGTGTGAGCCAGAGCTTGCTCACACTCCTGTGAGACTGGAGTGTGCAAGTCTGTCTTCAAGGGATTTGGCACCTTGATTTGGTATAGACAATAGGGTGTTTCTGCATTTGCTTTGTAAACTATAATTACCTGAGGTTTACCCACTTCTGCTAGGACTGCCTCCAGCTTTTCTTTTGAACTGTGGCAGATGCCACTGCCCTCCTCAGCAGCGGGATGTTCTCCAGCTCTGCTGTGGCACTGGTTTGTTTTGCCTGTGGTAAGTGACCACCGGCACCCAGAGAGTGGAAGAAGCAAACCTGTGACTGGTGAGACCCGAACACTCCAGTCCTTACCCCAGAGCCTTGTTCTCTCCATTCCTTTAACATTCAGGAGAAAAATGCAAGAGCAGGTCTGTAACTGGTACTGAATCTCTTCAGCCATCAGCCTCTGTGTGATTTCTCACTGCTCCCTAACCTCTTGTCTCCTGGTGCACTCTTGCCCGATTGTACTCCCTGCCCAATCAAGGCAGCTTTTCCTTCTATGGCAAAATGTGGCTGCTCCTGTTAGCTGTGCCTCACAGAGGCTTCTTTTCCTTTGTCAGAGTCCCAGACTTGCAGTGATAGTGCTCAGCCACAGCAGGGCACTTCGGTATGGGTCTCCCCACAGAGAAACTGCAGTGCCTTGGGTTTTCCTTGGGTCTGCATTTCTAGCTATTTTCTTGGAGCAGCATTTCTAGCTATCTAGGAACAAAGATTTTTTTGCTATTGCTGCAAAACATCATTAGAATCTCAAGCATGCTGACTCCCTCGTGATGGTTTAAACCTCCATTTTATTGACTGGAACACTTTTTAATAAAGCTGTGGTTATCTCTCGAGCTCCGTGAACATCTCTGTTGCTGATCCTGATCTCAAGATTTGGGTAAGATGAGCAGCACAGGCATGGCTGAGTTTTCATGTCACACCATTTGTTGATGAGATTTGTTTTCCTTTGTTTAGACAGAGATCATCATAGTTGCTGCAGCCCCTTAGCTTGTACCTTCAGAGGGCTAAGAAGAATTCTCAGGCCCTTTCTGATTTCCACCACCCAGCTGTCTGTGGCAGGGATCACAGCCAAGCTCAGGCATTAAACATACTAGGAACCACCAGCCTATAGACCCTTCCATCCCTCCCAGGAGCTCTCTCACTGCCCCTTCTCTCTGTGTTTAGGCAAATGGTAAGTTTGGCTCTTTCCACAGCTGGAAACCTATGGGTTGAAAAGTCATGATTTAAGTCCTACTTTCTTTCTTCCCTCCAGCAAAAGACCAACTTTAACCTAATGAAGCCTTTCAAGGCCATGGATTGCTTTCTTTCTGCTGTCTGATCATGCAAACTTTTCTCTAAATTCAAAATATTAAGGAATTCATGAAACTGAAGTTGAAATTCTCTTATAATCCATAATTCAGCATCCACAGCAATATGAAAGCAAACCAATGTTCAGAAGTGAGAGTGACATGAAATAAGAGCCTAAGCTGACAGAACTGTCTACTTTGCTGGTCCAAAAATACTGACCATCAAGTTCAGTGGTGACCTCACTTGAACTGATGCCATAACAGGCAGTGGACCTAGACAGTTAGGAATTCCTCCAGGGTTTTGGTGTTAAATTTAGACACCTCACTACAGTTTTCTTTGGCTGTTTGGACTTTGGGATCTGGGTGATGGGCAAACACAAAGCTGTGAAGACAGACATTAACCTACAGGAGCTGCAGTCTCCAAACAAAAGATGAGTCCTTTGGTGCAGCTCCTTTGAGAACAGAAGGATTTTAAACAGCTGGTACTACTTGAACTCAAGTGCTCCGCATTTGCATCTGTTTAAAGCCCAAGGATCTACTGTAGAATGGATCCCTCTATCCTGTAGCCCTAGGTGTACATGGGGTAGGGATGTGAGCCGTGCTTGACATGGGATATGATGGCAAGGTTTCCTCTTAGGCTCAGAGCCAGTTTCCTAAAGTTGATGCTGGGGATAACATTTCGGCAAAATCCTTGGTTTTCCCCATAATTGTCCTTATGAAAACCACCCTTTCCTGAACTGTTATTGCATTACTTCTCGATTGGTCTCCAAAACAATGATCCAAAGATCTCGCTCTGTCCATTTTAACCTGTTCCAATGTTTATGCTGGTGGAAGTCAGGAACTATGCCAGCACGAGTTTAGGCAGCAGCTAATGAGTATTTTCTTGTGCTAGCCCCACTTCCTCACAGAGTGTTACTGTCCACTGCTGTTTCTGTCCTGTTTCTCTTTGAGGTTGCTGTGGTGCCACTGACACATGGATCCTACCCCTGCAGAGTGGATGTCACCAAATCACAGAACATTCCAAGTTGGAAGGGACCCACAAGGATCATCAAGTCCAGCTCTAAAGTGAATGGCCTGTACAGGGATTGAACTACCAACCTTAGCATTTTTAGCACCAGGCTCTAATGGACTGAGCTAATTTCAAGGGAGCAGAGACGTGTGCTGCCCTAGCCATAGATCAGGCCTCCAAGCTGCGGGGCCCCACATGTAAAAGATGTTCTGGGTCTCGCCTTTGCTCTCCTGCTGTCAGTGCTGGCAGGGGAGGCAGGAGCCTTCCCAGAGGAGGAGGAGCTTCAGGCAAAGAGCTGGCGTTCTTCAGCATTGGGGTGGCCTGCCTTTGACCTGGTGACTTAGCCCTGAAAGGCCAGGTCTGGTAATTGCCGATCTTGATAATAACTGTGTGAATACTCTTACCTAGTCCGCCCTTGCACTTTCCGGCCATGTGCAGCGGTGCCGCCTCATTTCTTGGCTTGGCCATACCTGCACTTTTCCTAGGAGCCAAAGCAAAATAGCCTCTGATCTCGCTGCCCATTTCCTTGCCTAGCTGGGCATGAAATCACAGTTCTGCATTGCTGCCAGGAGCATCCAGCTTCCTTTCATGGGCTTATTCCATCTACTGTTTTGCTAATTGAAGGCCTTCCAAATTCAGCATCCCAGCCTACTTACTGGGTTTCCCAAAGCCACGTAAACTTTTCTGTCTGCTTTCCTGTGGCCCTGGAATTGTTTCCATAAGCATAGGTTCTTCTGGCCTCTTTTTTTCATCTTAAACAAGTTACCTTGTAATTTACAGGAGCTATTCTCTCTCTAACCAGGGGACTGGGCTTGAAGCCAAGGAGTGAAGTGCCTTTACTGGGAAGTAAAATCCATAATTGCACAGATGTTAAAAATCATCAACAAAACCTTGGTTTCTTGGCATAATTTTAGTATTTTCCGGGTGACTTCCAGAACTATTAGTTCATCTGATAAAAAGGATTACCTCTACTCACTTCCCACACCTCTGTTACATAAGAAGGGTGAATCATCAGGATCTCAAAAGCCAAGGACCATTGAGAGCCCCATTATTTAACTGGAACCTCTGGCTTCAGCAGGAGCTTGGGCAGGGGATGGCTGTTCCCTGAAGCATCCTCATGCTGGATCTAATACAGCAACACTTCAACTTGCTCCCATCAGCTGGATGGACGGAGATTTATGAGCTTTTGTAATGTCAGGGGTTTTTATTTTCAGTCTACATTGGACAGAATTGGGGCAAAGCCCCCTGTGGATAGGTATTACAGCTGGAGACAAATGTTTTGAGTCTACTTGTTTTAATTTTTCTCATTTTTCAAGAAAAATTATGGTGGCATCTAGCACAGGACCTGCTGGATGGTGCAGGGAGGGGTCCCCTTGGTGCAGATCTGTTCTTCAGGGACTAATGGAAAGCCAGCCTACCCTTCTTGTTTCAGCTGGGCAACACTGTGGTTGGGCCAAGATTGGAAATCTGAGGGTAGGAATTGCTGTCAGACTCCACACCACAGCAATCTGTTTCATGGGCAGCAGTAAAGGGAGCATTCTGGTTTTTGCTCCAGCTTGGCAGCACATTAATCAAAGCAAAGGCAGACGAACATCTGGAACCAAGGAAAACTGGGAGTTACCTACCAAAAGTACTTTTGAGTGTTAAGGAAAGTAAACATATATGTGTATGCAGGTGTCTGGCATCTCTTGGGCTCCATCCATCCCATTTTGTGATAGTCCAGGCAGGAGAACATTAAATCCCTAAAATGCGTATTTTCCAGTTTAAATTTGAGTGAGGCTTGGTACATGTGATAGAGGGCAGCAAAAATCAAACTGTTCCTCCTATGCTTCAAAAGCTTGGACTGCAAGAGAGCTCTCTGTTCAGGCAAGACATCAGGGCAGGATTTTCCTTTTTCAGCAGAAGTGTGAGGCAGGGTAACACTGTGGTTGCCAAACTAACTCAATGGCAGCTCTTTTTCCAGTCACATCCCTGTTTATCTCGGACCTTTTATGCTCCTACAGCTCCAGAGGTTCACATTATGCTGGGTGACATCTTGCCTTAAATTATCAAAAAAGTTTTAAGGTTAAAGACTGATGTTTGGAGCACTTTGTTCTTCAAAATGCCCATCCCTCCTCTCTTACCTCTACATTAATTTCCTCCACTTGTTCAAACTGCTGCTGTTCCTCCTGCAGGAAGGACTTATCTGCTTGTGCTACAGCTGCTGAACAGCCACACCACTCAGAAAAATAGAAAGTGGTCTTGGTTTAGGTTGCAGAGCTGCTCAGCACAGCCCAGCTGGTCCAAGAAGTCAGGCTGGGCACGTGCAAGTGGGTCTCGGGGAGAATGGCTTTTTGTGGAATCTAAGTTCCACTGGAGATCCCATGGAGAAACAATGATAGCTGGACAACTCTACCAAAGCCACAGTGGAACTGCTTTTTAGAGGGGTAAGAGCCACCCTACACCCTGAGTAAGGAACCGGGGTGCTCAGCCCCCCACCCGCTCCCTCTGCCTCTGTTGGTGCCGGCACGTCCCTTATGGGCATCCCTGCTGAGGGACGGGGGAGAGGTGGCCCCCTCTGCTCCCTCAGCCACCCAAGCGCTGTTTCACACCTCACGTTGCTGTTGTCATCGCTGACACACGAGATCAAACTCGTGGCATTGTGCTAAAAGTCACAGGAAATCGTTCCAGCTGTATTCCCAACCTTTCTTTATGTTTAGCTTAGCAAACTGTCGGTACATTCATTCTTTTTTTCCCTCTCTCTCTCTTTTTTTTTTTAATTTTGTTTTGGGGGGGGGGGGGTTTTTTTTTTTTTTTTTTTTTTTTTTTTTTTTTTTTTTACAAAAACAAGCAGAGTACTAAGAACTGCAACAACCCCTCTGGGAGGTTTTCAGCCTTGGCCGGAGCGGCCGGAGGGCCCCCGGGGCCGGGAGGCTGCCGCTGGCCCGGGCTCAGCGGGAAGCTTTCTGGGACAGCCATTGCTGGCTCCAGCCCCTGTCCAGGCGGCTGTGTGAGGGCAGAGCCACTGCTCGGACCAGACGGCAGCGGTATGGCGCTCCGGGGAGCCTGCCTGCTCCTCTGCCTCCTTTCCCTCGCCCAGGTCTCCGGTCAGCAGAACGGCAAAGCCCGGCAAAAACTGGCGGCTTCCAAGAAAGGTAAGGGGCAGCGGCAGCTTCCCTGCAAGGGAGATTTGCAGGGCTTGGGGGGGTTGCAATCAGCCGACCCATTTTGGGCATTTAACAGTGCTTTACTGAAACGTCATAAAAAGTATCTAAAAACTCAATAAAGTGTCTTCCTACCCCCTCCCTCTCCGTGGGAACGATTGTGCAGATCTTCTATAAAATAGCGAGGGTATTGAAACGGTTTTGGTGGGTTCCTACCTTGAATAAATTTCTTGGGACAGCTTGGTCTGAATTTCAGAATGAAAGCATTTTCCGTGTTCCCTCTAAGGTTCATCCCAAGCTTTTCCTCTAATAAACTTTCCATTCCTATAACCCCCTTACCCCTTCTCATTCATTTTTCAGAAGCAAGTACACTTACAGATGACAGACAATTTTGGAGATAAGAGCAGGCAGAAAATATCGAAGCCATTAAACATCAACAGGCTTCTTCATTTAAAACCACTGGTCTCGGGTGTATTTCACACCGGACACGAGCTCTGACTACTCAGGCTTGCCAGACAGCAGTGCATACACAAAGGTGCCTGGGTTTTTTATTCCCCAGTGGGTTTGTTTCTCTTGTTCTTGTCCTGTTTTCCTACCGTCCCATCCTTTGTCCCTCTGACCCAATGCATGGTAAGTATAGGAGAAGGCAGGTGAGGTGAGGCATGTGAGCGTGCCTACCTGCCTGCTGTGTCCGACCGCAGCCGCCTGGGCTTGGACCGCTTCTGGCAGGCGCTTTCCTGCTTGGAACGAAGTGGGGAGCAAGGAAGAAGCATCCCTGGAATTCAGTTGGCCAGGCTGTTGTCTATGCTCACCCAGTTGCTATTTTTGTCAGATTTTCATCCTTGAGAAATGTTTGCCTTTTCTCCCATTAGATCCTTCTGTGAATTCACAAACTTAGCTGCTTATTCCACATCTTATTCTGCAAGACATGGAATAACAGAGCAAAAAAAATTGCACTCACTGGAGATGCCAGGAGAGACACATTTCTTAGAGAAATCCCGGTTTTCTCTAGGTGTCATTGCAACTGCTGTTTGTAATCAATTAGTGACAAGAAAGTGGGGGGGGGGAAATCACCTTTTTGCCAGGAAAATTTGGCAATGCTTTCAAAACTTTTGAGTTTTCAGGGGGTGTCCTGAAAATCAAGCCATCTGGACCAGCTGGTGGCAGGTTTTAGTCAGAATTTCTTTTCAAAGGAGAGGTCATATTTTCTGTGGAGAAAGGGGAAAACCCAGCAGTTTTGATCAGTCCCATCCAGCTCCATAGGAGATCAGATGTCCTGCCTTTACTGGAAACTTCCTGTATTTCTTGGTTAATATTTTTCAGCTTTTTACCAATGCCAGAGGGTAGGAAAAGAGGGAGAAAAGCAGTAAAAATCCCGTATGAAGCTCCTCTTTGCCTCCAGCCCCTCTCTACATCCAAGCCTGCCTTCCCAGCCACCACAGGGGCCAGGGCTCAGCCACTTCTGCTCTGAACAATGGTAGGATGGCCCCATCTCATCCTCATCCAGGCGTCCAGTACCCCCATCCTGTTTCCACCCCTGCACTTTGTCTGGGATGGTCAGGCAGGGCAAACTCACTGGAGGGCTGAGGTGTTTGGCTGGATTTTTTTTTTTTTAATTCTATGCAACCAAACCACAAATGTTAGGAAAGAAAGCACTGATTTAAGCCAAGCTTTTTATGTTTTGGTTTGGGTTTTTTAAATTTTTTTTTCCTTTTTTTGGTAGTTATTGCTTATGTTTGGATCTGCTTCAGAATGAAAAATGATGCTATTTCAACATGAAAAAGCCAAACCACAGTATTTAGAAAATGCTGAGACAGCACATTCACTTTGCCTGCTGTTGTGTTTTTCCCCCTCAGATTACACCCCAGTTCCAAATGCAGTTCCAAATGCAGTAGCACAGCAAACTCTGCCCAAGCCCCAATGTCTTGGGGTGTCCTTGTCTGGCAGCTCTGGAGGTCTCATCTGAAAGAATGCCCAGGGGAAGCAGGCACTGGCATCCCTGCCTGGGCAGCGTTTACACCCCATGGCTTGGGGGTGCAGGCGTCTGGCCTGGGAGGGCTCCCGTTGGTCACAGCTGTGATGGGGTGCTGGGATCAGGGAAGGGAGCATCTCTGCATAGTTCTCACATCTATTTCTAAGGTAACTGGAGACAGAAGTCGGAGTCTGGATGCTTAATTCAGTGGATAGGGACTCATTTGGGCTTCTTGCCTGGTACCACCTACTACACTGCTATAAATCCAATGCAGATGCATTCAGTCTTGTCCTTTGATCCAGGGAGATTGCAATATTGGGGACCTGACCGTTCCACTTAGTACCTTTGAGGAAATTACCAGTGTCAGAAGAAATGCCAGAGAGTTTTGATGACAGACATTGTGAACCAGAGCAATGCTCATTCCTCTAGGGAACAGAAGGCTGTTTGGATCTCCAGGCAAAGCTAAGATATATATATATATATATATATATATATATATATATATATATATATATATAATATATATAATATATATAAGATATATCCAAATTTTATACAGGAATAATTAAAACATTAAAATTAAGTATAGAGGGATTTGGTTGTTATTTGGCATATAATTAGAATGGGTGAGAGTTCCCATTTGCAGCTTTAAATACATTCCTGACCAGGCTTTCAAACCAACAAACTATTGTGACCCACAATTCTGTGAGTCTCCTTTTGATCTTGCCTCTGCCCACACTTAATCCTGCTGCTCAGGGTCCTGTGCAAGGACCCACTCCAGCCCACACGGAAACATCAGCATCCCATATGATGGCTTCCATCACAGAAAACCCAGACTGTAAACAGGCTTGATCCCAGGCTTCAGGAGGTGAGCCTTGAGGAAATGACAGCACTGAGACAAAAGCCCATGGCAATCAAATAGACAATGCAATGTCTGTTGATGTAGCCATGGTCCTCACTTTATAGCTGAAGGGTGACTCAACCAGTCCTGGTTCTCTGTGAGACATCCCAGTGAATGAACTGCTGTAGGAACATCTTGTGGCCCAGGATTTGGAAATGAGGTACTGAAAAGGGACAGGGTTCTTAGGCAGTTATCAAGGAGACATGTCACCTTTCATGGCAGGGACCCTCGAGTTGAGAACCCACCATCAAACCCACCTGGAACACCATAAGGAGCTTCCCCAGCAAGACTCATTGGCAGTGTCTTGCCATGGCCTTTGGATGTTACTTAAATCTTAAAACATTTGTTCTGCTGCAAGACAGGCTTGCATGGAAAAAAAACCACATGACCAATTAGCCATTTCCCACAAAGTGTTTTCATCAAAGGCAGCAAAATAATACCTATTGCCTCAGTGTTAAGTGACTCCATTAAAGTTAATTGAGCAATGAGTAAGGCAGCTTAATGCCCTCCTCCTGATGTGTCTGGCTTTTCATATTCATGGCACTATGTAATCTTGGATTGGTGGTTTTGGTCTGCATCCAAGCTGCTTCTGTTCTTGCCTGCGTGGTGCCTCAGCTCCTTGGCCCTCAAGGAAGCCCCTCCTACTGCATTCATGGACAAACTTTCACCCCTTTTCTTTCACCCCATGAGAATTACTAGATGCTTTCAGCATGGGAACTCCTAGATGCATACAAGTGCCTCCTCAGTGTCCAATCTCCCACCACCTTCAAGGTGTAAATGGTCCCTTTGCTCCTGTCTAGGAGAAATCCAGGTACTGATAAATAACTGGTTGGAGCTGTTGCAGAAGCAACACACCTAGCAAGATGTAGGTTTTAAGAGCCAGCTTTCCAGACAAAGAGGTGTCTTCTCACAGCAGGAAAGCAGCTCTGGAAGTGTTTGGGTACCTGCACTGGGGGTGGTGAAGGTAGAGATGAGGCAGAGGCAGTGGTGATGGTCCAAAGGATGATGTGGTTGGTGGGCAGAGGCTGGTGGCTGGTGGTGCAGTGGCAGATCTAGTAGAGGTAGGATCTGCAGCCCTTCCAGCCCCTTCCTGCTGAGCATCAGCCTGGTGAGCAAAATGCTTTCCTACCAACCCACCAATGACAGCAGACAGGTGGGTGCAGCCAGGAGAGCATACAGAGGACATCATGTGTTAGGGTGTTTAAGGGAAGCCAGGAGGGGGTGCTGTGACTAGAGAGAGAAAGGGGATGTTTTTGAAGAATCAGAAAAAAATAAATCCTGTTCATCATTAGCTTCAAGTTACCCACAAAACATTTGTGTATGTCAGGACTTTTGTTCAGGTAGGGCAGCATCAGATGGTGTCCTCCTGCATTTTGGGAGCTCTACTCCAATGCAGCACCACCCCAGATGACTGCTCTGCACCTTGCAATGCTCATATATGTCATCTACTCCCCAGCACTACCATGGCAAGCCAAAGGGTGACCCCTGCAGCTGGAAGATGCATGGAGTGTACAGCCCCAAAACCTGAACCAGGAAAACAAAGTTATTATTGATAGTGGAACCAGGCTGGCAAGCAAACACTCACTCTGATGGATGTGCAAGGGGACACAGGTGCTGACTTAATGGATTATTTTTGTTTATCCTTCCCTGAAGGCAAAGAAACATGGAGTTTTAATGATAGGAACAGATTTGGTTGCCTCCCCTGGGATGCCACCAATGTTTGTGCTCTTTCTTTGATTTCTCCAACAGATGGTGTGAGCCTCAAAATGATTGAAGACCTGAAGGCCATGATTGACAACATCTCTCAGGAGGTTACTCTACTGAAGGAAAAACAAGCACTCCAGACAGGTAAAGGGCTTGCTAAAGAACATATGACTTTTACTTTGGGAGAGGAGCTGCTCATAAAGAGTGGCTGCAATTGCTCCACATGTTTTGATGAGAGAGCACGCAACAGCAATAAGCTCACAGTAGGGAGAAGTTGGTGGATCAAAACAGAGTGTGGGTGTCTGCAGTACCTCTGGGCTGGTGAACCACCTTGGGCAGTTAATGACAGGAGTTATGCAGTGTGGGGGCCCGCTCTTTATGTGCTTCTCGTTTGGATATTTCTTCAATGCTAAGCCAGATGTTAATTTTCCTTTATGAGGTCGAAGAATGAGATTTGGATTAGTCTGTGCTTTAATCAAATGCAGCTTAGTCTTTTGCCTGAACCTCAGTGGAACTGGTGACCTGTTACCACGCCATGGTATTGCCCAGGGAACTGCACTGTAGGTCAGTCCTGCTTCATTAAACATACACAGAGGACAGTCTAAAAATGTCCATCTTCCAGGCATGCTCCGTAGTTATTCTGTGCAAACTCCACTGACATCAGGAGTATGATTTGCAAAACATGAAGCAGAAATGAGATGAAAATGCAAATTAAGGAGAATTTTCTCCCTAAAAGAAAAGGAACACAAGCAAAATCAAGGCTTTATTTCCAAGCTCCCATTCATTGAGAAGTAATTGGTTTGGATATTAATGTATGGCTCTGATTAGGTATTGTTTGGCTACAGTACCCTGCACTCTTAAGGTTTAGAACTTAAAGAAAAACAAAATAAATTGATATCCTTAACACCAAAATCAGTGGCAAGCAGAAATTTCCTCTGAAGACCTCAAGCTATGCAAGTGCGACATTTCTGATCAAAGCTAATTAAAAAAGGCATTTTTTTCATCTTGCATAATTAAGATGATTTAATTGGCAGGCAAGCTTTTTCCCAAAACACTCCAACACTCAGCAGTGCCCATGACAAACCATATTTCCAACAAATTCATCAGACAATGAGTAGCATTGGCTGGGGAAGAGAAGGCCAGGGGAAGGGGCAGGAGGAACATGTTGTGCTTCTGCTCCAGCAGCAGAAGGGTGGCACAGGCATCCTGAAAATCCATTTCACCCAATGATTTGCAGAGAAGGAGGACACGTCCCTGTGACTGTGTTCCAGCCTGCACAGGAGAGAGAGGGGCCCTTGGAATTCCATGCTACCAAGGATCACTGTGCAGCCTAAGAAATTAAGTTTGTAGTTTGGCTGCTGGGTTTGCTGCTGCTGCCTCTTCCTGGACACCATTTTTAAACCAAATTCTTTTTCTGTCTTTTTATTCTGTTCATGTGGTAACCTCTCAGTTTGCCTGAAAGGCACCAAAATTCACCTAAAATGCTTTCTGGCATTTTCGGAGACCAAGACATACCACGAGGCCAGCGAAAATTGCATCTCTCAGGGCGGCACGCTCAGCACGCCCCAGAACGGGGAGGAGAACGATGCCCTCTACGACTACATGCGCAAGAGCATTGGCTCGGAGGCTGAGATCTGGCTAGGCCTCAATGACATGGCTGCAGAGGGCAAGTGGGTCGACATGACGGGCAGCCCCATCCGCTACAAGAACTGGGAGACTGAAATCACCACCCAGCCCGATGGTGGCAAGCTGGAAAACTGTGCAGCTTTGTCGGGGACCGCCATTGGCAAGTGGTTCGACAAGAGGTGCCGAGAGCATCTGCCCTACGTCTGCCAGTTCATGATTGTGTAGCGGCGGGGCCTCCCCCCCTGCCCAGCCAGCCCGGATCCCCACGCTGGGCAGCAGGATGATGGAGCTGTAGTTGTGTGTACACCTCCACGTACATCTGCACACACACACACACGCACATGTTCAGTCACCCTTTGCAAAGAGTCACCGTGGCTCATTGTCGGGTTATAGAGCTCTAGAGCATTTCCTTTGGCCACATCCAGCCCTATTTGCAGCTGCACTGCTCTTCCTAAGGCATGATTTATAGATATAAATTTTTTTACACAAGGAATTTATTAGGGTAGCTCAGTTGTTCCAGCAAAGAACCAGTTCAGCAGTCCAGCCTGGCATACAGCTGCCTCAGCTGCCCAGGGCTGTCACTCTGCAGCGTCCTTTCCCAGTTTACTGAGCTTCCTTGGGACACCAACATAGGCAATTTCTGCTTTCTTCTCGTCTTTTGCTTCCCCATAAGTCCTGGAAGCAATTTGTGAGGGTTCTGTGTTCCTCACAGTGTCTCAATTCAGCCTTGTGAGGATCAAGGTCCTGTCTCGATGAGCAGAGGGAACTACCCCTGCTTTGTATTGAGAGATTCAATTTGGCTTATTTGGCAGGGTACCAGCTGCTCAAGGGGTTGTCCAACTAGTCAAATTACGTGTATGACTGAATTAGCAAGTTACAGGCATGTTTGGTGCTTTTTCTCACCAGCCAAAAGCCAGCTTCACTAACTTCAGTGGGAAAGCAAGACCCGCTGCCAGATCCTTTGAAAAAAATCCCATCAAAAGTTTATTTATGCTGCGGTGTCAAGGGGAAAGCAGCGAAGACTTGGAGCATAGTTAGTCAACAGTATTACTAGAAATAGGTGTGTGTATTACATAAAAACATAAATGTAATACTCTTAGGGAGTATGTTGCTATATAAAAATAACTATATATGGAAAATAAGCCCCAGGACAACACATTCCAGCAGCTTTAGGAATGACCTGACCTGTTTATATGACTGGAATCCAGATGAACTATTCCAGTCTTTGCTGGTTCTCAGCAAATGTAAATCTGCTGAGCACTGTTTGTGCCAATATTGTCATGGCCAGCTGAAGGTCTGACCTCAGTGATTTTTTACTGAGAAGTAAAAAGAAAAGAAAAGAATAAACAGCAATGGTGAGAAAGAAGTCCATGTCACCCTGGCAGCTTAACAAAGCTTTGCTGTCTGTTGGCTGAAAGGTATCAGTGGTTCTTTGCAGTCCAATGCTTGGTAATAACCCCTCCAGTTTGGGTCACCCACCCTGCGCTTCCAGGTTGTAGGTGTCAAGATAGGATCCTGCCCATGGGACAGGTATTCCAATTTGCTGCTTTGTTTAAAAGGAGCATGGTGGTAGATCTTCCAAGACATCTAGTCTGAGCCAAGCTGGAAACACACACATGCACACAAATGCAGAGTGCACGCTTCAGAGGTTGTCACTATTGCCAAACTCTCCGCTGTTCAAATGACTATAAAATAAAAATATCTCTATAGCTTGCTGAAGGAATGGAGTTGTGTCGATGTGATCGGAGTGCTTTCTTCTCTTTGTCTTTCTCTTCAGAACAGCTCCAGGGGTATGTCTGAAGGCTGGAGATAAGAGCCTCCCACTCTGTAATACACTTTATAGGATTCTCCCCCTCCTGCCCTGTTACCATCCCAGTCACATGCCACACACAGGATACAGGCAGGGAATCCTTTTATAGGAAAATAGAATTTCCTTCCTTTCTTCCCTTTCTGCTGGGAAATTTCATTCTGAAATACAAGGTAACCTAGAAGGAAGGTCCCTCCCTCAGCCCTGTTTGGCAGCAGTAGTGGTGCTGGGGGAGGTGGCACCTCGGGTCCCACCTTGGAGCCAGTCCTTCCCAGGCTGCAGAGCTGCAGCAGTACCGAGTCCTTCTTCACCCACTGAGGATGTGATGACTTCTCCCTCCTTCTCCTCTCCAGCATCCCATGTAGGAGAGAAGACCATCCATGTAGAAGACAGTGCCTCACACCAGTCTGGAAAGTTTTAACTGCTGCAGAACTGCATGTGAAATTAGGTCGCTTTTGCAGTCCTTCAATGAGCTTTATTTTGGACCCTGTTCCTGAAGTTTTCCAAGACTCTTTGCTGTAGGTCGTGATTACACCATGCAAGCCAGCTTGTCTCCATATAAATCCTCTAGTTCCTTTGGCAGATGTTCCCTCCATATTTTGAGATACACATGAAGGCAAAGCAGCAATGCTGGAAATGTTACTGGCTTTAATCCTGGCTGGTCATAAACCACAAGGTCTTAAAACACAAATGTGTGGCCAGAGAAATAAACAGAGGGCTTTTATGGAAAGAGGAACAGTGTGAAAGCCATGGACCCTGGCAATGCTGAGCTTTGGGGAACTTGTGGGTACTGAAGCTGGACCATCTTTGTATGGAGTGTGAATCTGAAAAACAGCCATGGAGATGGATGCCAAAGGATATTCCCAGAGAGAACATGAAGGAGTCAATTTGTCAAATCTAAAAAATAACAACTTGTTCTCAGCAGATTTCTTGCTCATATCTCTTGCTCTCTGTTTTCACAAAGCTAAATTCCTGCCAGCACCATTCCTCATAGATGTTTTGCTCTTCTGAAGCTGGGAGGAGCACAGGGAAGGGTGGCTTTGCCCCTGCTGTACTTGTTGGATCCATGATGACAAAAATGACCTTGCATATTCAGTGCTACATTTCTAAATTAACTATTATTCTTACAACCTTCTTACTTCATTATGAACTACAAATTGTCTTTGAAAAATCAAAGAGAAGGAACTTCTAGAAGATTCCTCATCCTTGCTTACCACAGCAATATTGTTTTTTGTGTCCAACCCTGTGTTTTGTGGTCAAAGGGAATGCCAGGATGGAGGGATTGAACGGGGACAGCCACTGGCTGCCTCCATAGGGAAACTGTCCTGAACACATGTGGTCCATCTGCTGGGAGCCAGAACAAGCATCACTTTTTTGATCTTCCATTAAATCTTTTGGCACTCAAGCCAGAGTGGAACGTCTGCTGTCCACGAGGTGTGGTCTCAATCAAAGGCATGCAAACTAATGGAAAGAAACCTCAGCTCTTCGCCGAGGAAAAGGAAATGTGGAAGAGATCATGTCTGAACCAATGTACTGTGATGCCTGCAATCCCTAATGAACCTCATGTTATTAAAAATAGAGGATGTTGTATAAGACTTTGTGCCACTGGTGGCTGCTTGTGGCTCTGTGACACAGCAGAGGAAAGATGAAGCATGAAATGTGCATACATTTATATAAACAAAAGAATAAAAGTTACTGGGTGAGCCTACAGAAGGAGTTCCCTCAGCACTACGCCATCCACAACTGAACTCAACAGAGCTGCACTAACCCACCCCACTGATGGCCCCCACTCCAATTCATCCTGGTCTGGAAGTTCAGGACCTGTCCCAGGTCTTTGCCTGAAGGTCCAGGAAAGGACCAAATGGTTCAGAGTGAAATGGTTAACCATAAAACAGCTAATACCTTACTGAAGTCTCTCTCAGCACAAGGGCCAGAACAGCACAGTATTCACACACCTCAGCAGCCAGGTTGCTTTTGGCTTCAGTCAGTGAAAGGGCTGGGTAGGCAAAGGTGGGTAAGAATTTGGGAGGTATGAGCCAAAAGCTTGGTTTGGGTCTTGAACACTTCTGTGAGACTTGGTAGTTGGTAGTCCTGACAAGAAACCCAACCCCACACCTCTGCTCCTTGTGCATGTCTGCCCAGCCTGGGTGTTACTCAGACCACATCAGGTGCACCCTCTCCCTGTCATCCTTTGCAAGGAACAGTCCCTCAACACCTCTGCTCCTGCCTGTCACGGAGGGAACACACTTCCCACCTCTGTGGCTGCAGACTGAGACCATTGGTAGAATGAACCTCCAAAGGGAAGGACCTCCTCTGCCCCTGAACCAGATTCCTTGTGATCTTGTGATTCCTATCGGCTTTACTGTTTGCTCCTGCTCCTGTGTAAGCACTGAACCCCACTGTCAGTCTCTCCTTTCACAAATAAAATTAAAAGCTAAATTAAAGTTAAATTTCTCCATCTTAGAAGCCACCATAGACAGGGTGAGACTCAGCAAACGAGGCTAAGCTAAAATACCCCTGAGAGCATAAATATAAACCTGCTGGGTGGGGGAGGGAGGAGTCACTAATGGAGAACGTAAACATAAACTCCTTGGGGATAGATGATAGAGAGGATATCAGGCCATGGTGTGCAAAACAAACCAAAACAAACCAAAACAAAAGTGGTTTATTGCTTTTATATGTAGAAGCACCCAGAGGGAGTCCAAAGATAGCAATTGGGGACTGTTCCAAGTACAGCTGAAAACAAATCACAACCATTTTAGCCTCACGCCCAGCAGCCTCTCCACTCTGTCCTGGGCTGTGCAGACAGCTCAGTGTCTGCATCACTTCCCTGTGACTCCCCTGTCCTGCTGTGCCGGAGCATGGGGCCATCCAAGCTGGCAGCAGCCACAAGGCACTCCCGAGCCTGCAGCATCCCTCCAGGAAAGAAAGAGAAACCCAAGATGCTGCCAAGAGGTGAGGCCAGCTGCTGATCGAAGAACATGCCTTCCCTCACCTCAGCCCTTTTGGAAAGCTGGCTCTGAGCCAGAGGCAGAGAACACAACACCTGAGCTGCTTGAAGCTGTGTTTAGAAAATACTGTTTGGGAAGCACTGAAATAAATAAAACTGCAACCCCTACTGCTTTGCAGAAATGCTCCACAGACAGCTTGGTTTCCCACTGCAGTGTCAGTAGCTTCTATCACACTCATTAACAAGAATCCCAAAAGTGAGGTCTCAGACATTCAATAATTTACTCTGTTTCTATGTTTCTCAGGACCAGTGAGGCCACATCTGGAGTGGTCTAGTTTTGGGCTCCCCAGTACAGGAGGGACATGGACCTAGTGAAATGAGTGCAGGGAAGTAGATGAGATTTGGAGAGCTGTTGTGTGAGGAGAGAGCAAGAGCTGAGATTGCCTAGCCTGGAGAACAGAAAGCTCATGGAATCTCATCTTAAATGCCTGATGGGGGAGGGTAGCAAAGATAGAGCCATGGGCACAAACTGAAATACAAGGAATTCTACTTAAAGAGAAGATAATATTTTTCTCTGTGAGGGTAGTCAGACCCTGACACAGGTTGCTGAGAGACGTCTGTGGAGACCCTTCGAGATACTCAAAGCCTGACTGGACATGTGGCCCTGGCCAATGGGACCTTGCTCTGAGCAGGAGGTGTAATCTGGTGATCTCCAGAAGTCCCTATCAACTTCTGTGCAAATACAGCCACTGAGCAAGGGCTGACTTAAATTATTCCTCTTCTACAGTCACAGGAGAAAAACAAGCATTTCAGGAGCAGACAGCTGACCCCAGACACCTGATGGACGAGCTGTTATGTAAAAGCCTTCCTACAGAAAAAGGTTAGCAAGAAAGCCAATAAAATAATCCCTTGTGGGATGTGATTTCTACACTGTAGTGCTGCCAGAGCTCTAGAAACTAATTAGGTCTTGCTGCTCTGCCAAGTGTGATCAGCAGACAAGAGCTGAAACTTCATTTGTTATTCAACCAGAAGGAAACTGGAATCAAACTCCACCAAATCACCAAAAGCAAATGAAATGTTTTTTTTTTTTTAAATAAATGCTCCAAACACACAATTCAGGAGTGCATAGATGAAGATGTGAATCAGATCAACCACAGTGAAAGATTTGCTTTACTGTTAGAGCAGGACAATCCAAGGACAGCTTGAATTTTATCTGGATTCATGCAATGTGGACATTGCTCTGTCACTGGGAAGGCTTTGATTCAATGCCCCTGAGTGTCAAGCCATGCTGACATGGGGGATCCAAACTCCAGGAGATGGGTAATGGCACAGGTCCCCCCTGCCTGAGCACCAACACAGAGGTGCTGCAGCACACTTTTATTGAGGTAGGCTCTCACACTTCGTTCTATAATACCTCAGAGAGGAAAGCCAAACCCCCAAGTGACCTTAAACCAGTCAAATTTTAGGAAATACTCCAGGAATTGCACTGATTATAAACAGGGTTAAACAATTTATTCCATTGAAGACTGAGGACTTGGAAGAGCCGTGTGGGTGGGGTGCTGTATACCTACAGCAAGTGACTGACAAGTTTTATACTCATCCTGGGAACTGAACTTGCTTTCAAAAAAGAAGAACAACAATTAGTGGGGTTTGTTCCTAAATTAAAATGTATGGACCAAAAAATAATGCAAATACAGCAAGTAGTTGTAGTCATGACTTTGATCAGGTGATAAATGTCCATTAAAAAAGGAGAGCAGACAGCCCTGAAGACCACACTGCAGCTAGCAAAACAAATATTCAACATTTGATTCATGTGCTAATGAGGGAGTTGGGATGACCCTGGAGAGGCATAGAAAATCTTGGTCTTGAGTCTCAGGAACTGGCTGCATCAGGTGAGGCAGAGCTCAGTAGTGAGATATTGCCTTGTGGTCACCATTGTCTCACCTTCTCTGCAGGGCCAACGACA